TATAGATGTTAAGGCTTGTCTGGAAATGTCAGGTCCATTATGAAATTCTGGAAATCTCTTTGAGTTCTGAGTGTGGCTTTTCCCCATTCATTTATTCACTCAGTCATTCAAAATAAAGAAATGAGAACCCAATGCTCTTCTAGGCCCTGAGGATTCAAAGTAATTAATATAAAATATGATTTTTTTTCTTACATTCCAGGGAGGAAGGCAGACCGTAAATATGCAGACAGATCAATGAGGGGGATTATTTCAGATACTGATTTGAAGTGAGCGTGCGTGGGGGACGGAGGGGGCGGGGCGTGCTGTAGATTTGGGTGGTGGGAAGGTGGCTCTGAGGAGGTGACGTTCAGGTCGATTGTGTGTGCACCGATGGTCTCAGTTGTTCCCCTGACCTTTACTCTGAACCTTTATTGTCCCGTCTGTCCTCTTTGACCACATGAGATGAAATATTAGCACACTCGACATGAGCAGAGGCTAATTTAAAGCATTTTATACAGAGGCTGTAAAAAGCATTTACCTTCTGCTCTGGGACAGGCGAACACACATGCCTTTCCCTCTTCTCCTGCTAAGTACCACTAAAACCCCTGGACATTACGTGTCAATCAAACCTAAGGACCTGAAAGATGGAGAAAGCCAGACAGGCTGGGACCTCAGGACGCGGGAGCAGCACTGCGATGAGTTTCCTGGGTTTTCTTCTTGCCAGACTTGAGCTGGCATAGCTCGCCAGTAACCCAGAAATGCCCGTAGGTACAGGTGAAGCAAAAATGCCCCAATGCAAAACCTTTCTTTTCTGGCCAAAGGATCAGAAAATGAGGCAGCCTAGCAATGCAGAAAACCTTTAGAAAATAACTACTCTATGTTAGGCAGACACCACGGAATAGACTGTGGCCACTTGCCAAGCCGTGTCAGCAAAGGCTAAGTAAGGATCCTAGACTTAAGCCCTTGTGACACTGGGTAGAGGAGTACAAACTTTTCTTATACCCTCTTAAGTGATGTACTTGAGAACCGTGAATTAAGCTGACAAAAGACTTATGGGAGAAAAGACATACCAATGTCATTGCTATTTTTACATGCATGGGGACTTCACAGAAAAAGTAAAGATCCAAAGAAGTGGTTAGTCTGGAGTCTTATATGCCATTTTAACAGAGAGTAACAATTTGGGGAGAGGTGACTAGGAAACGTAGAGTAGATTAGGGCTGTGTAGTAAGGTTTGACTCATCTCAGACTCATCTCAGTGCTGTCTGGTCTTCCTGGGACAAGATGCAGAAACACCTTTAAAATACAGGTTTATGTCACCTTTAAAGGGAAATTTACGCCTTGCTCTTAGGCAGAAAGAGGTAGGGCAGACAGCTTTTCCTGTCTCTATTGTTTTCCACTTGCCTTCCACTCAAAATAATCCTATGCCAAAGTGGCGTATTTTAAAGTCATATATTGCGATCCCCTTCAGCTGTAACATGGGGCTCTATGAGGTGGTATCTGTGAAGGCCAAGTCGGGAGCCAGGACTTCTTCCCCATCCGTTGGTAATTAGTACCCCCCGCCCCCCCAATCGTGGTGTCAGTGGAGGCCCGTGAGAGAGTCAGGACTTTGACTGTCATCCAGTAGTAATGAGACCACTCCCAGTGCAGTGTCCGTGAACATCGTGTGAGGACACAGAACTCTCACCGACCCAAGTGTAATGAGGGGCCCCCTCAGGCATCAACAACCCCAAATAGGGAAGCTGGGTTTCTACAGCAGTAACAAGGAAGCACATTCTACCTCCCACCCCTTCCCGTATCAGAGTGGGGTTGGAGGAAGCCAGCTAAAATAGAAGGTTTAATTAAGATCCAGAAACTTAAAACACCCAAAACATCCACATTGCCACAACAACATGTACGTGGTGTACCAAGAATGAAGAAGACTTCAAAGCGTAGTTGTCGACACTGAGATGATGGGCATGCTAGGTTTATGTGGCAACGATCTTTAAAAAACCGTAATGAAAATTCTCCAATGAGTAATTACAAACATGCTTGAAACACACACACAAAATAATAGAATGTCTCAGTAAAGAGCTTCCCCAAAAGAAATAAGATAGAGAGGAGAACCAAGTAGAAATTTTAGAACAGAAGATGCAGTATTAAAGTATCTGGTGGATGGGCTCAACAGCACTATGGAGGGGAGAGAGGAAAGATAGAACAACAGGAATTCCCCAGTTTGAACAACTGTGAAAAAAAAAATTCACAGTTTCAGGAACCCGTGGAAATACTACAAAAGATCAAACAGTCGTGGCATCTGCGCCCAGGAGAGGAGAAAGAAGGTAGGACCAAAAAAGTACTCAAAAGAAATCATGGCTGACAGGAAATATGGCACAAGGACGTTCACTTGTCAAATGCTGAAGAAAGAGCCATCAACTCAGAAGCTTACACCTACGAAGTATCCTTCAAGAATGAAGGGGAAACAAAACCTTCTCAGATGAAGGGAGACTAAGAGAATTTGTCACCAGCATATCTACTCTAAAATAATTAAAGGAAGATTTCTAAACAGGAAAGGATAAGAGAAGGAATGGTGGAACATTGGGAAAGAAGAAAGAACTCGGTACGCAAACATGTGGGTGAATATGGTAGGCTTTCCTTCCCTTCTTAAGTTTCCTAAATCATATTTTATGATTGAAGCCAAAATTATAACACTGTTCTGGTGTAGCTCTCGATGTACATAGAGTTTTGTTTTTTTTTAGATAATTATAAGCCAGAGAAGTCAACGTGAGTAAAGGGTGATAAGGTTTATCCCAAAGAAATGACGACTTCCCTTCCCTCAGAACTCTGTGTGTGAGTGTTTATAGCAGCTTTCTTAGAAAGACCCGGAGGCTAAAAAAGACCCAGCTCTTCCTCAAAAGAGGAAGCCATTGACTAAATGGCTCAACCAGCTGTGGTATGTCAATGCTGTGGAATATTACCACCTAGATGAATCTTCAGAGAAGCATGCGGAGTAAAAGAAGCCCAACCCAAAAGGATACACGCTGAATGACTGAATTTGTAGAACATTCTTGCGATGCCAACACGATAGAGATGGCGAGCGGATTAGATGAGGCTTAAGGAGGAGGTTGTACAGGAAGGAAGTAGGTGTGGCCATCAAAGAGCAAAATGAAGATCCTCGTCTTAAAGGAAATGTTCTGTGCCTGGATTGTATCGATGTCAACATCCTGGCTGTGATACAGTACTAAACGTTCTCAAGATGTTACCTTTGGGGGAAACTGATCAGAAATATACAGGATTTTTCTAGTATCTGCTGCCACAGAATGTGACTCTACTCTTATCTCCAGATAGAGACATGGATTAAAAATGAGAAACTTTTACATTTTTCTGCCCTTTCTTTTGGACTTTTTGCTTGCTCTGGGAGAATAAGCCCCAGCCTACCATTTGGAGAATCCAAGAACCACGTGGTACGGAGCTGAGTCACCCCTCGCAAAGTCAAGAAAATCTGAGACTTGACTGCTCGTGTGTGAATGAGACCATCCATGATGAACAGACAAAGCCAGGTCAGATCGGCCATTGTATCCATAAGGAATGATTCATGGTTATCGTTTGAAGCTGCTAAGCTCTGTTGTGAGTCTTCTGCAGTAATAGTTAAGTGACAGAGACACTTCACCGAAGACCTGAAGGTTGAAAGGAGGCAGCCAGGTGAACAGCAAGGGGAAGAAAGTTGTGGCAGGTTCTCCCGTCCTTTGTCAGAAGGGCATGTAACATTTTGGGGGCGTGTCATGAGTGAAGCAGGAAGTGGTGGGAGGTGAGGTCTAACCAGGTGGCCGCGGTTGGACTCTGTAGGACCAGGCTATGAAACTGGAACTTAGTGTTGGTGATTTGGGTTTGGCGATCACTCAAAGACTGCTCTGGAACTGGCTTTGGAAGCCACAATGAGATCATTTCTTTTTTAACTCCACCAAATACTTAGTGGGTACGTGCTACCAAATGACTTTGTTCCATAAATGTTGTCCGTGATCATTATCACCACGTGCCAGGCATTGTGCTGTGGGCCGGGAGACCTAATGATCTGTCTCTTCACACTACAAAGTATGCTTTGTGGACTGTGCTCTGTGCACCGCCGTTTCTTCAGTGTTGGGATAGGGCCTAGCATGTAGTACATGCTCAGTTAATAATCGCCAAATTTTTTTTATTTTTGGGAGAGAGACAGAGTGCAAACAGGAGAGGGCAGAGAAAGAGGGAGACTCCAGGCTCTGACCTGTCAGCACAAAGCCCAACGCAGGGCTCGAACTCACAAACCATGAGATCATGACCTGAGCCGATGTCAGAGGCTCAACCGACTGAGCCACCCAGGCGCCCCAATAATTGCAAAATTAATGAGTAAATGAAGAACCAAAATGTGTGTTGTCCTTGTTTGCATGCAGACCTAGATATAGTGAGCCACTGACTGCTCTAGAGGGCTCCCCAAGCAATGGAAACACTTTAAATGCACTAGTTCGGGGTGCCACCTGGGTAGCTCAGTTGGCTGAGGGTCAGACTGAGCCAAGCTCAGGTCATGGTCTCGCGGTTTGTGAGTTCAAGCCCTGCATCCGGCTTGTGCTATTAGCGCGGGAGCCTGCTTCTTCAGATCCCCTGTCCCTCTCCCCCACTAATGCTCTCTCTTTCAAAAATAAATGCACTGATTTATTCAGTTCTGAGAGCAGCCCTATGGGAAAGATGGTATTTTTCATTTAAAAATAGAATAAAATCTTATCTATAAAGGCTCATATCTACAATGTATACATAACTTCCTATTCGTTATGTTTGATAGTGTAATGTTTATATAAACCTAGATGTTGAACAGGCATAACAAACTCACTGCATCATCAAATTCCACATCGTCTCTACAAACCCTGGTGGCCTTGCAGGCTTGTTGAGCTCGGTCGGGGGAGCTCCGTACTCCCACTTGCTCAAACTAAAAATCTTGGAATCGTCCTCGACTCTTGCCTTCCTGTCCCCACACCCAGTGCCGCCCGTGAATCTCGCTGTTTCTGCTTTCCAAATAGATCCAGACCTGATTCTGACCACTTCTCCTGCCTTCCTCACTTCCGTCCTGGCCCCGGTCCCCACTCCCTTCTGCATGGCTTACTGGGTGACAGCCCCGCAGTGGTTTCCCTACTTCTGCCTTCAGACCCCTGCAGTCTGTTTACCGTACCTCAGGTCATATCCCTTCCCGTCCCTCTTCTCATCATTCAGGGGACAAAGCCAAAGTCTTTCCCAGAAGATCACGGGACCTGTACAGTCCGACCTGCTCTCACCGCCACCATCCCGGAATTGTCTGGACTTCCACTGGCTCCCTTGTTCTTCCTTCTGCCTGCGGGTGTCTCTGCTCAACACCCACTTGTTTCTTTGGCCTGGAGAAATGGGCAAAACGTATCTCTCAGTTTACTCCCTCTTCTCCTCCAGCCCCTTCTAGGTGTTCGTTCAGGTGACAGTTTCTCTGAGAATTCCCCTGATTATTCCCCTGAAAATGCTCACCACTGGCCATTTCTGTCCACTCTTCCGGGTGCGTAATTCCTTATGACGTGATCGGTGTCCTGTAAGACGCATGTGTACATGTGCATGTATCCCGTTGTCTTATCCATGACGTGTAAGCCCGGTGAAGGCAGTGGTTCCTTTCCCGTTTGTTTACAGCTGCAACCCCCAGTCAGTGCCTGGCAGGGGTAGGGGCCCAGTAAATATTTGTCCGATGAATTAATGATTGATTTCAGCACCCAGTGATGCCCATACAGCAGCTAAGATTTTCTGTCATTTTTAAAAGATTTTTTAAAAAATATTTTATTTAATTTTTTGAGAGCGAAGGAGAGAGAGAGAGAGAGAGAGAGCACAGGGAAGGGCAGGGAGAGAGGGGGCTACAGGATCCGAAGCAGTCTCTCTGGCTCTGCACGACAGCACAGACTTGGGGCTCAAACCCACAAACCGCGGGATCGTGATCTGAGCTGAAGTCGGACGCTTAGCCGACTGAGCCACCCAGGCGCCCACAGCATTTCTTTAGAATAGTTTGGCTTTTTTCCCTAAAAGGTTAGTTAAAAATAAAAGTAAATATACGGTTGCTGTATTTGTGTTTATTTCCATTATCTTACCTTCTGCTTTTTATTTTATCCGTATTACTCCTTTTGATCTCCTTTTCTGTGTTGTCTTACTTTCTCTTTTCATTACGGCTTTTAAGACCGGTTTGGAAAACTTATCCTTCAGTTTTCTTTTAGTGGTTCCGATAAGTATTAGCATGCATTGATTAAAAAAATAAATAAATAAAAGCCACATAAATGATTTGAAGTGCTTATGGCTTCTTCAGACAGTTCTTTTGTTCCTCTTCCTCTTCCTCTTCCTCACTCCTCGTCTCCCTCCCACCTGGTAGATCTGGAGAACAGAGAAGAATTGGAGGGGGAAGTCAAGGGGCACATAACTCTCTCAGTGTTGGTTCCCCCGACACCGGCTGGCTTTGTACTGACAACCGGAGGGGTTCCTTGGTGACGAGAACATTTGTGGCGGATATTGATTCCATGAGAATTTATTTAAGTCACATATTACTTGTTCGGTGCTTACTAAAATATGCATATCTGCATATTGACAAGTGAAGGTTGTATAAAGGAAGAAAGCCTCAAAATAAGGCCAACGCGGTAGGGAGGCTCTGGGTCTTGCAGGTGCTGGAATGTCTTAAGACTTTCTTTGGTTTTTACCCACAGGCAACAGGCAGCCACAGAATGCTTTAAACAGTGGATCGATGTGGTCAGGTTAGGGTTTTAAAGATCACCCCAGAAGCAGTGTAGGAAACGGAATGAAGTGCAGCCAAAAAGGAAGCAGGGAATCTCAGAACTCGGATGATGGTGACTCAGGTTAGGGTGGCGGTCCCCAGCAGAGCACTGAGGACATTCCAGGCTTTGCTAGAAGGAAAGTACACAGGGCTCGGGTTGCTGGATTGTGTTCAAAGATGGCTTTCCAAAACAGGTAATATCACGACTGTCATACAGATGAGGAGTGAACATGTTACAAATTCTGCTTTAACTCATTAGTTAAATGAAGGAATAATGCAGAATATTATAAGTAGTTTAAAGGGTAACCTGAAGAACCCACACATTTCTATATCTGGCAGCGTGAGATCAGGGTTGTTGGCAGTGGGGGAGGGAAGTCGGTTGAACCTATTCTGAACGGGACAGATGCCTCTTCCTGGACTAGAATTATGTTGCGTTTCTATGAGTTATCTACAATTTAGATGTAGAATAGCGCCCACAGAATCAGAGGCAGATAACCCTAGTGGTGTGTATGCTATAGAATGCACAGTTTTCCATTAAAACAGACATTTTTCCCAATAATTGTGTGTGTGTGTGAGAGAGAGAGAGAGAGAATGAGAAATAGTGGGGAAGAGTCAAGTATAGCCCACAATCTTCTTGCTTGAGCCCCTGGGCCCTATCTGTTGAGTGAATATATATATACTGGAGTAGAAACAGATTAAAAAGCAGGAATAACCTACTTTTTAAACTTAATAATTTACTAATAGCATTTTCTATGGTATACATACTGTTACAGTATCATTTTTAATGATAGCAATTTCCAGTTTACAGATATGCCATAATGAATTAAATCAGCCCCTGGAACATTCAGAGTGTTTCAGTTTTTATGTGGAAGAACCTTTTTCCCCTATGTTGGCATATTTCCTTAATTATTCCCTTAGGGGAAAGTTCCTGGAAGTAATGTTTCCAGGTCAAAGGGTAGGCATAATTCTGCCTCTAGAAAGACTGTGCTAATTTACCTCACCATCAGCAAAGGATTGACATAGCTAATTTATTGCCTGTGGGTGCTTTTTAAGTATTTTTAATCCTCTTTGTACAAATTTTATTTTATGATTAATTATCCTGTTCTTGCTGGTACTTCTCTTTGCAATGAATTTAAAATGTACCTTGCTACCCACCGTGAAGTCTTCTCCCAATTAGCATTTCTTTCCTTACAAGTAAAGGTATATGTAAATGATAGGCACGGAATCAGGTTGTTTACTCATTAAAATGTTTTTCCCTTTATAAAATACATAATTCCGAACCAGCTCATTATTTTTAGTAAGCTATCTTGTAGGTAGCAGCCTACAAGTTATGAAAGATGCGAAAGAACTCCTTTTATACACTTCGTCTGTCGCCTTCTGAAATCCCATAATGATAGGGTCCTTTGTAGGACTGGAAAGTTGCAACCTGCTGGGTCTCAGAGACCATCCAGGTCAAAGTTCTCGGGGTGGAAGAATTTTGCAGACACTGGCAGGCAGGACAGAAGGTGAATTGTCTGTTTGGCTGATTCCCACCCCGTTTGGTCTTATTTAAAGGCTCTTCCTCTCGACCTCCAGACTGCATTATCTGGTACCACTTCCTGTGACTGTCGAGCTGTCCTTGGATAGTGGCATTTCCTTGACCTTGAAGTCCAAGGGGAGCCCAAGACTGTAGGAGGGCAGCCGGTTACTCTGGCCATGTGTCATCGGCCAAAGTGGAGGGCCGGGGGCTTCTGGAGAAGTGACTGGTTAGCCCCAGGTAGGCGACTGCACATGCCAGCGGGAATTCACTTAGCCAACACGTTCATTCACTGCAGCCGTAACTAACTGAGAACAAGAGGCTGGAGGTTAGCAAGGCAGGGAAGGCAGAGAAAAACTGAGATACTTCTAATGTAGTTAGAAATACTTTGCACATTTGGATTTCTGGACTTCAGTCAAGGATGCTGAATACTTAGACACTTAAGGAGAGAGCGCGTGGAATTCTTTTAAAAGCAAACACTTCTTACAAACTGCTAGGATACCTTCGCATCCTAGATTAGGATGTTAAGATTCCAGCTGCAAACACAGTCCTTGAAAAATTATCACTGGAGATGAGCCCTTGGTGCCGGGGACCTTAACACCACAAATGCAGATGTCACTGTGAAATAGCTAAGCTATAAAGTCATCATCCAGATGAAAGAACATATGGTTACAACTCAGTTTCTCTTTTTAGATTGTGAGAAGCTTGAAAGTAAATTTCTTACAGACGGCTCGACCCTCAGCATAAGTTTGTGCCTCTCTAGAAGTCCAACTTCTCTGGGAGACGCCCGGGGGAGTGGTTAGGCACTTGTTCTCCAGAGCCGGGCAAGCCAAGGTTGAAATCTTGGCTTTTTTTCTAGTATAGCTTCCTAAGGGCTGTCGGGGACAGTTAATTGAAAGAACACACAAAAAGGGGTCGGCACACTGCAACGCATGGGGGGAAAGTTTAGCTGGTTTGAGGTGTTAATATTGACATCCTGGATGAGCAGAGTATTGGATTTGTTTTGGAGAGTAGGGAAAAATTGGGTTAGTATGTGAGAAGTGAGGCTAATTTAGCATTGTATGGCTGGGGGTAGATTTTTTTTTTTTTCCTGGCTGCTTGGAGTTTATTTTCCACTTGGTGCAAGCCACGTAGTTACGGGTATCAGGAAGGCTGGCATGTGGTTTGGAGAATAAAGAGTGGGGCTTGAGAAGAGTCGACAGGATTATAGAAAGGGGGTGTTGACAAAATGGAAAACCGACCTTTTCTTCTTCCCGAAGCGTTCCTTGACATCATAGAAAAAGATAATTGGCAAAAGCTAACTATATGCCAGGGCTAGAGATGGGACACTGTGTCTGTGCACGTGAGAGCTCTCTTCAGGACAGCATCCGAATTCATTGTAGAGTAGCGAATCTTGGACGGTGGACAGGACACGAAGTGTGGTGGAGGGCGTAGAAAAAGCTTCAGGTCAACATTGTAACATAATTTTATGGAAGTGAAACTTGGGCCGATGGGGAGATGTGGATTATATAGAGATTCTCGCCTGGGGTACATTCCCTCCTCTCTTTCACTCAACAGCGACATGTCAAACAGATTTTAATGTTCATCAAAAAGTAACATGAGCTTAAACAGTTGAGAAATATGGAGGTTGGCAAACTGCAGCCGGGCCTGCTTCCTGACTTTTTAAAGAAAGTTTTATTGGAAGACATCCACACCATTCACTTATACGTATCCTATGGCTACTTTGATGCTATAATTACAGAGTCAGGTAGCTCCAACAAATATCTGTGATCATCAAAGACGAAAATATTTACTCTCCCTGGCCCTTTACAGAAAAAGTTTG